ACCGAACGAAAAAAATTTGTTCGCGTTTGTCTCGTTTACTTATCGAACGAATCGAACACGAACTCATTGACGAACCGAACACGAACTGTTCGCGAACAACGAGCTTTTTTGACAGCCCTAGCTAGGATAAGAAATTATGCTAAATAGGATTTAGTAAATTTAATAAATTTGAATTTATCAAAACTAAATATTATTAAATTAAAAATAATGTTTGATTTAATTAAGTTTAAATTTAATTAAATTCATGAGATGTGTCTGGCATAAATCTATTTAAATTTATTTTTCTTGCACTAAAGCCCTTAAGTCTAACTAATAAGTGAATTTAATAAATGGAATAGGTAAAAAATTAGATTTAACTTAATGACAAATTTATCTAATTTATTTATGATGTTTGGTTGGATTTAAATTAAATCTAACTTAAATCATGTTATAACTATTGTATTAAATAAACGTGTCAATATTAACTAATATTTTGAGTTCCATCTAAAAAATTCAAAAACAACTAAAAAAGAAATAGTTATGGGGCATTTACATGCATGCCACTTAATTCTTATGTATTCATATATCTCACAACTGAACTTGCATATTTAAAGAAAAATGTCTTAAATTTTTAATATCACATTAAAAATAATATTGGTATTTGACTATTGAGCCCTAATTTATTCATAAATCACACCCTAAGGGTTAGAGCGTAAGAAAAAAGTAAGATAGAGAAATAAAGAGAAATGAACAATAAAATGTCTTGTCTATTAGCTATTTCTCAAAAAATAATCTCTTTATTTATATGAGAAATGGCACAATATGAAATATTACATTTTGTCTCTTCTTTAATAGGGTCCTTATAGGACATTTTAGGTATTTCGCATATGCGAACCTATTACTCGCCTACCCTATAATTGGGTCAGTTAGGTTATCATGACTTCGACTCGGTAAGAGGTCAGCTGGATTCAATTAGCTTTGTGTTGATAAGGCCGGTTCGATTGGCTAAACATTGTTGATCAGTAAGACTGTCAACTCACGATTCTTATATGAGGGGCTCCCGTTGTCAGAATAAGACTAGGCTATCGAATAGAAAGTGAATCATTGTAACTCGATCGATAGCTCATTCCATGATAATAGAGTCTTTTGAGATGATTATGAGGAATCATAGGGGCATTGGAACGGTAGATGATGCTACGGAATTGGATTCTTTCTTCACATTGTATTTACTGATAGGTAGGTTGATGCTTCCACTTAGCTTTCTTATAGTGGTTGGCCCAGATGCTTATCTCGTTATAACCCGATGGTTTCAGGTTAGGGTCACTTGCTTCTCATTATAATGGTTTATTTTGGCCTTGCTTGATTTATCTGTAACTACTACATCCATTCAGATAAAATGGGCACCTGGTCTTCTGTCGATGAGACATTGATACACCTAAAATATATAGTATTTTTATATATATTTTTATATCTATTTTTGAGATGTTGTGATTTAATGGAAGATATTTGCGTGTTTTTCTTATTTTTATATCAATTTTAGAGATATTGTGATTTAATGGAAGATATTTGCGTGTTTTTCTTTCAGGCATAAGTAAAAAGGTGAAAAATGCTAAAAGGAGTGAAAAATGACCAAATTTGGAGCAAAAACGTAAAAATGGTGCAAAAGTATTTTGGCGCCTAAGCGCCAGAACCGGCGCTCAAGCACCGGTGAAACAGAGAATATTGCGCCAAAGGCCCCACGCTTAAGCTCCAATGACAGTTACTTGACGGGTTAATTCATTTTAACGAATTTCGAAGGGACATTTGAGGCACCTATTTGCTAAAATAGGTGGTTATAACCACCAAGGATGAAAATATAATTAAAGGACTTGTGAAAGGAGGTGTCCCTTGATAAATATATCGAATCAGGACACATTTTGAAGAGATACCAAGACACCTCTTGGAAAATTATAAAAAAAGAAAGTTGAGACTTTTAGAAGGGTCCTGAAAAGAATCCTGAAGTGTTCTAAAAAGTTCTTGAAAAAGTTCATGGAGAATCTTTTGGAGAAAATTTCAGGTACCACAAATTTATTTTTCCTTTTGCTTTTAGTTTTATTTTAAGAGTTAAGAGCATTGTAAGAGAGAAGAGATTCAAAGGAACTTCAAGAGTTTGGTGGAGGATTTGAGATAAGTTTTTATTTTTGTCTTAAACTACTTTTAGTTTTACTCGAGACTTCTTGTTGGTTTGATGATGATTTCTACTTTTAAATTAAAGTGTGGTTTTATTTTCTCCATGGATTCTGAGTAGTTTTATTTATCTTTCTCCTTAAAATGATAAGTAATTAAAGTGTTGGATTGAAGTTGTGGAGAGTATTAATCTTTAATGTTGAAAGAAGTTGTGATGATTTAATTTCATGCACTTCATTTACTTCTTGATCAACCCATCTAGATGTTAAAATCTGTTGTGATAACATGTAAAAACCAGGTTGGTATTGTCTCAGTCAACAATTGGAAAGAATCACATGAGATTATATGAATGAGACTGTAGTTCATATGATTAAGTGCAAATAAATAGAGAAATAATCTTTGAAGGGTGTAGAGTTAGAGGTATTTAGAGTGACAAGCTAAAGCCTCCCACTTGGTTTATAATTTTAGGTTTTGATACGAGATGTTAGCCCCCAGGTAGAGGGAATCGAGGGAACTCTAGAGTAAGAGCTAGTATCTTCCTTACCTAACCGGTCTTCAGAACTATTCAAACTTTAAATCAGCCAATGTTTTTTATAGCATCTCTAGTAAGGGTTAAAAATAATATTGCTCCTATTTGGCCCAACACAATATGCATACTTCCACAATAGAATTCCTATACTTATTACCGATTCATGATAAGGAGAAAGAAATTTTCTTTTACATAAACTAAAGTTATCTTTATTAAGTTTTTATGTCATTTTTAAACATTAAAAATACCAAAAAGAGTTTAAATTTTATTCCTGTGATTTTGATAATATCTTTAGTTTAGGTAATTGTCTTTTTTAAAATAGAAGTTTTTTACTTAATATCTCATACTATGAACAATCCCTGTGGGTTTGATATTCGAGGCTTAATCAAAAAGTCCTATATTACTTGATAACGAAGTGTATACTTGGTGTATACTTGCATAGTATCCCAATATATATTATGTTAAAAAGTTAAATTCTTATTTTCTCTAGGATAAAGTTTTGGTACTGTTGCAAAGTAAGGAAAGATAAGTGAAAAATATAATCAAATACATTGTTATAATGTTGCATATAAACAGTCGAGATCAGTCATCCTTTATTATACTTTCTTTTTTCTAAATCATTGGATCTCCTCAAAATTAATGCTGGAACATTTTTCATGTATGGTGATGAAAAATTTGCTATGATAAAATTATATTTTAATATCTTAGTGTTGCACAAATATTCATCACACATGAATAAAAGAGAATTAGCGAGAAGTGACACCATAATTTTTACATGGAAAAATTCTGGAAGGAAAAAAATCATGGTGTATTATCTACTCAAAATAATCAATTATATAGTATATAGTTGCACTCTTCTCATGAATTAGACATAATATAATTATAAAGATAATAATCATAGATGTACAAAATAACATAGCTATAATAGCATAATTTTGCTACAATAAATATACGTTTTTGTTATAATATCAACAAAGGCTTAAGATGACTATAATAGAATTAATTGGTCACAAATGTCGTGATTGGAAGTTGTAAAACTAGTAGTTGGCTGCAAATGTCATAGTTGATTGCTACAAAGGCAGTAATTGCTCATGAATGTTGTAATCGATGGCTAAAATAGAAATAGTTGATTACAAAGACAGTATTTGGAAGTTGTAACACTAGTAATTGGCCAATAATGTCGTAATTTGTTGCTAAAAAGGCAGTAATTGGCCATGAAAGTTGTTGTCGGTAGTCCCAATTGTAGCAGTTGGTTACAGTTGCCTTAGTAAGATGTATAAGCAGTAGTTGTCCACAAAGACCATAGTTGTTGAATGTAATAACAACAGTTGACCACATTGGTAGTAGATAGAAGTTGTAATAATAGTAGTCAGCCACAAAAGTTTTGGTTTGTTGCTTCATAGTGATACTTTATTGCAGGAGTTGTATTTTGATTATGACATTTGCAAGCGGTGGTTGTCAAAGACTAGTGGTCGTCAGTGGCAAGCGTTGAAGATCGACGGTGGTCGACAGTGGCCAATGAATTGTGTTTGATGATGGTTGGTAGCTACGAAGGTCGATGGTTACTTATTGAGTCTTGTTGACATGTGTTAGGCACAATAATTGTATTTCAAATTTAATGTACAAATAA